TATTTAATCTTTCTCTTTTTTTTGTAGTGATCTTAAAGATATATTTAAGCCTTTTATCATTTAAAAGATTTCTTCCTCTATTCTGATCTCAAACTATCTGCAAAGACAAGTCTTACTTTACACCCTAAATGTTACACTAGACTAGTTTCTAAGCTAGAAAGTATTGGATGAAATTTTATTATATTGGGTCGTCGGAAAAGTCATGGCTTATTTTTCTGTGCAAAAATGAGTCATGACTTTGCTGGTGGCCCAATATTTTAACGTTACTTCTTATCAGAACTGGGTTTCTGTGTGAGGTGGACGCCAGATTTGTTTGATATTAATGAAATAGTTGTGGGAGGAGAAAGCTAATGGGATAGGACATACTTTTCCACATTTAGAATATGTTAAGGGTTTAAAAGAACCTAAGACTTGGAAGCAACCCAGTATCTAAGGAAAGAGATTAGTTAACTTACTGTAGACCAGAAGCTAGCAAGGGGGATCATCATGGTTCTTCTGCTCCAGCCTGGCTTTTACCGAATCCAGGGCTTATTGCTCAGTCATTCCCCAGAACTAGCCACTTTCTTCTGCAAACACCCGTGAAATTATTCAGGTTGTTGACTGGTCCCACAGTCTCCTTTACAGCGTCCATCACTGTAGCCATCTGCCTGCTTGACGGACCTTTGTGTGATTTCTGCCCCTCTCTGGCCAAAACTTGGAGACAGGTCTGAGCTCAGAGCTTTCCTAGGGATTGCCCATGATTTACTGCATTTTTAATTTTTAAAATTTTGACAGAGGGTGTGTGTGCTTGTGGGAGAGAGCCTGGGGATGGGGGGAGTGAGAAATCACCCCCTGGGGAGATGGCCATGTCCTAGTCTTTTCTCCTCCATTGTCCTCTCAGGATTTTGGGCATGCACAACGCACACACGCCTAATGTGTTTTTCAAGCCACTGGGTCTAGGACTCAAACCACACAGTCAGTCAGCTGCCTTAACTACTACAGCACCTGCTGGCCTGACTTACTGCTTTGATCAAAAATAGTGTGACTTTTAAGACATTGTCCTACATTAATCCCATAAAGAGAGGAATGAGCTGAGTAAGGGTTGAAGCTACCAGACCCATGAGGTGGTTGTAATCCTGTTTCAGATGAGGCCATAATGCAGCCAGGAGGTGATGGCTAAAAGGTTAAGCTTCCCATTCTGATCATGAACTTGGGAGAAAGAGTGAAGAAATCAACACTGGATTGCGCGTGAGCCCCCGACAAAAACAAACTCATAGGTCTCCTTTAAGAACTTCCACGACGTGGCCAGTAGGTGACTAGAAAAACAACCTCATAGGTCTCCTTTAAGAACTTCCACGACGTGGCCAGTAGGTGACTAGGTGGTTAAGGCGCTGGACTTCTACATGGCCTACTATGATTCAAGTCCTGGATCTGGTGACTTGAAAATCACGCCAGGCACATGTGGTGTGTACCCAAAATCCCAGGAGGAGAATGGAGAAGGGATGGTGGAGTGGATATCCCCCCTGGGGGATTTCGTAGTTTCCCTCTCATTGGTGACCGCATGTGTGCTATGGCAAAAACCTTAAAAAAAAAAGAGAAAAGAATGAACTTTGAAGTAGGTAAAACCTATTACTGAATGGGATTGTTATCAACTTATGTAGGATGGATGCCCTGATCCAGGATGAGACCAGATTTCTGGTCAGGACACCCAGATAATTTGACTCCACCTCAGCCAACTTTCCTAGCTGTAAGTATGAATTCTCTTCTATTAGCAGGGTAACATCATGCACCATTGCCCTGTTTTTATAAATTGCATTGTTTTTCACAAAACGATACCCAAATCTCCTCATGTATTTTCTTTTTAGTAGTGCCTTTTCTTCTAGTGAGGCAATTGGTATCCTAAGCAAAGCACCAGGGCACGCACACACACAGTACACTGTTACAATTTGATAAAAATGTGCTAAAAAAAAAAAGCTCGTATGTTGTGAAGAGGCAGCTTATAAAAGAAGACTTAAAAACTGCCAATTAATATCTAAATATTTTAAATATTTAAATGGTGATCATCAGTGGAAATACATAAATAAAAAGCAACATTTACATGGATTCTGGAGCCAGATTGACTAGATTCTAGTCCTGGCTCTGCTGTTATTAGCTATATGACTTTAAGAAAGTTACTTAACCTAAAAATAATAATAATAAAATAAAATAGGGACCAGTAGTTGACATAATGGCTATGTCACTGGACTCCCATGTAGTTGACTACAGTTCGAGTCCTGGACCCAGTGACTTAAACTCACTCTGGGCACATGTGTGTACATGCCCAAGATCCCGAGAGGAGAATGGAGGAGAAGGGATTGCGGCATGGCCATGCCCCCAGGGGGTGATTTCTCACTTTCTGTCTCTCTGTCTTTCTGGTGCGTGCACACGCCCTATAGCAAAAACCTCTCAAAAACAAAAAAACAAAAAGAAAGAAAGAAAGAAAGAAAGTTATTTAACCTTTCTATAGTTCAGTTACCTCTTCTATAAAATGGGAATAATAGTAGTAATAGGCTTAAAATTGTGACAGTGTACAAGATTGATGTCTAGTTGCTTAGTACCTGGCACATGGTAAATGCTCTATAGCGTTACCTACTGTGGAGATGGTGATGGGGATGATGGTGGTTGATGGTGATCATGATGAGGATGATGGTGGTGATGGTGATCATGATGAGGATGATGATGGTGATGGTGATCATGATGAGGATGATGGTGGTGATGGTGATCATGATGAGGATGATGATAGGACATACTTTTCCACATTTAGAATATGTTAAGGGTTTAAAAGAACTTAAGACTTGGAAGCAACCCAGTATCTAAGGAAAGAGATTAGTTAACTTACTGTAGACCAGAAGCTAGCAAGGGGGATCATCATAGTTGTTCTGCTCCAGCCTGGCTTTTACTGAATCCAGGGCTTATTGCTCAGTCATTCCCCAGAACTAGCCACTTTCTTTTGCAAACACCCATGAAATTATTCAGGTTGTTGACTGGTCCCACAGTCTCCTTTACAGCGTCCATCACTGTAGCCATCTGCCTGCTTGACGGACCTTTGTGTGATTTCTGCCCCTCTCTGGCCAAAACTTGGAGACAGGTCTGAGCTCAGAGCTTTCCTAGGGATTGCCCATGATTTACTGCATTTTTAATTTTTAAAATTTTGACAGAGGGTGTGTGTGCTTGTGGGAGAGAGCCTGGGGATGGGGGGAGTGAGAAATCACCCCCTGGGGAGATGGCCATGTCCTAGTCTTTTCTCCTCCATTCTCCTCTCAGGATTTTGGGCATGCACAACGCACACACGCCTAATGTGTTTTTCAAGCCACTGGGTCTAGGACTCAAACCACACAGTCAGTCAGCTGCCTTAACTACTACAGCACCTGCTGGCCTGACTTACTGCTTTGATCAAAAATAGTGTGACTTTTAAGACATTGTCCTACATTAATCCCATAAAGAGAGGAATGAGCTGAGTAAGGGTTGAAGCTACCAGACCCATGAGGTGGTTGTAATCCTGTTTCAGATGAGGCCATAATGCAGCCAGGAGGTGATGGCTAAAAGGTTAAGCTTCCCATTCTGATCATGAACTTGGGAGAAAGAGTGAAGAAATCAACACTGGATTGCGCGTGAGCCCCCGACAAAAACAAACTCATAGGTCTCCTTTAAGAACTTCCACGACGTGGCCAGTAGGTGACTAGGTGGTTAAGGCGCTGGACTTCTACATGGCCTACTATGATTCAAGTCCTGGATCTGGTGACTTGAAAATCACGCCAGGCACATGTGGTGTGTACCCAAAATCCCAGGAGGAGAATGGAGAAGGGATGGTGGAGTGGATATCCCCCCTGGGGGATTTCGTAGTTTCCCTCTCATTGGTGACCGCATGTGTGCTATGGCAAAAACCTTAAAAAAAAAAGAGAAAAGAATGAACTTTGAAGTAGGTAAAACCTATTACTGAATGGGATTGTTATCAACTTATGTAGGATGGATGCCCTGATCCAGGATGAGACCAGATTTCTGGTCAGGACACCCAGATAATTTGACTCCACCTCAGCCAACTTTCCTAGCTGTAAGTATGAATTCTCTTCTATTAGCAGGGTAACATCATGCACCATTGCCCTGTTTTTATAAATTGCATTGTTTTTCACAAAACGATACCCAAATCTCCTCATGTATTTTCTTTTTAGTAGTGCCTTTTCTTCTAGTGAGGCAATTGGTATCCTAAGCAAAGCACCAGGGCACGCACACACACAGTACACTGTTACAATTTGATAAAAATGTGCTAAAAAAAAAAAAGCTCATATGTTGTGAAGAGGCAGCTTATAAAAGAAGACTTAAAAACTGCCAATTAATATCTAAATATTTTAAATATTTAAATGGTGATCATCAGTGGAAATACATAAATAAAAAGCAACATTTACATGGATTCTGGAGCCAGATTGACTAGATTCTAGTCCTGGCTCTGCTGTTATTAGCTATATGACTTTAAGAAAGTTACTTAACCTAAAAATAATAATAATAAAATAAAATAGGGACCAGTAGTTGACATAATGGCTATGTCACTGGACTCCCATGTAGTTGACTACAGTTCGAGTCCTGGACCCAGTGACTTAAACTCACTCTGGGCACATGTGTGTACATGCCCAAGATCCCGAGAGGAGAATGGAGGAGAAGGGATTGCGGCATGGCCATGCCCCCAGGGGGTGATTTCTCACTTTCTGTCTCTCTGTCTTTCTGGTGCGTGCACACGCCCTATAGCAAAAACCTCTCAAAAACAAAAAAACAAAAAGAAAGAAAGAAAGAAAGAAAGAAAGTTATTTAACCTTTCTATAGTTCAGTTACCTCTTCTATAAAATGGGAATAATAGTAGTAATAGGCTTAAAATTGTGACAGTGTACAAGATTGATGTCTAGTTGCTTAGTACCTGGCACATGGTAAATGCTCTATAGCGTTACCTACTGTGGAGATGGTGATGGGGATGATGGTGGTTGATGGTGATCATGATGAGGATGATGGTGGTGATGAGTGATCATGATGAGGGTGATGGTGATCATGATGAGGATGATGGTGATCATGATGATGATGGCTATGGTAGTGATGATGATGATGATGGTGACGGTGATGGTAATGACGACAATGCCAGATTATTCCCCAAAACGGTTGTTTCAGTTACATGTTATCAGCGGTACGTAAATGTTTCCTTCCTCCCATTCTTCTGATATTTTTAGACTTTAAAATACTTGCCAAATCAGTGGAAAAAATGGAGTACTTTTCACAAGTTTATTGTCTGTTAAGGGCTTCCTCTTCTGTCAAGCACTTATTTGTATATATCTCAGCTCATTCCTCTGTCAGTCTTTTTATCTTTTTTAAATTGATTTTTAAAATTGATTTCTCATTTGTGCAGCAGTTATTTATTGGGGACCTTTTATATGTCAGACACTGTTCCGGGTGCTAGGAATATAGTGAAAACTGTTTATATGGATCTTATGTTCTAGTGGAGGGAAACAAATGACTAGTACAATTTTAGCTAGCAATAAGTTGTATGAAGAAAATTAAAGCAGGGTCATCAATAATAGCTATTACTGAATGATTTCCATGTGCCAGGTATCATACTCAATTCTTATATGTATAAAGTCATTTGATCCTCACCATTTGTTTAATACTGTTTATTGAAAACTGTATACAGCTTTGGAAACTAAAACACAGAGAGGTTATTCATGTACTCAAAGTCACACAGCTGGGAAGCTGTGGAGCCAGGATGCAAACCGGGGTGGTCAAACTGTAGCTAATAACCAGCAGTCCTTGGGACCAGCAGGTGGTGTGGTAGTTAAGGTGCTGGACACTCCCACATGGCCGACAATGGTTCGAGTCCTGGACCTGGTGTCTTGCTTTCTCACTTTCCCTTTATCTGTCTATTTCTCTCTCTATGGTCAAATGAAAAGAAATGAATGCATAAATAAAATTAAATAAAATAATTTTTTAAAGAACCTCCCCAAAAAAGAACCAGCAGTCCTAGTCAGAATATTATGTGGCCTCTCTACACTATACTAAAGATTTAATCTGAAGAGGGAAAGGAGCTTTTTACATTTGTATTATATATTTTATAACTATCTTGCCTCATTCTGTAGTTTTAAAAATTGTGTCTATAATCATTTTCTTATGAATTGTTTAACTTTGATGTAGTCAGAGTTACCTCCTTTTGTCTTATGGTTTGTACTTTCCTTGATTAAGAACTTCTTCCCTTCACTGATATTACAAAGTTATTGTTTTATTCTTCAGTTATTCATTTAACATATTTATTTGAGCATCACCTATATGCCACTGTTCTAGGCACTGGACATATGTGAACTGACAGACAAAAATTAACTGCCTTCAGTTTTAAGGTTTTGTTTTTCAGGCTTGGGTCTTTCACCTATTTGGATTTTTTTTTAAGGGGGGTATACTGTAGAAAGTAACAAACTATTTTTATTTTTCTCCATATAGAAAAAAAATTAGTTTTTCTAGTGACATTTATTTAAAAGTTCATTTTTTCACTATTGATATGTGAGGTAATCTTTATCATATATCAGGTTCATATATTTCCTGGTTATTCCTGATATGGTATTTAATTGCTCTGTTTATCTATTCATGAACTCTTGTATTTTAATTTTTTTGGTTGCAAAGGCTTTGTGATTATTATAGACAATTCAGAAAATGTGTGAACATAAGATTATAATCACTATAATTCTGCCATTTCTTACAGAAAATCGGAAATCAAGGGAGAAATATTTGTAACATAATTACAGTATCAAACTATTAACATTTCATCTATTTCACGGTGGAGAGGAGCTGAGTGGTCCTCCTGGTGATATCCTATAAAATCTAAAATGGTTTCTTGTCTTTGAAATGCATATACCACAATTCACCCTATTCTAATTCTATTCTAGTATGTTCATTTGAAGAGTGAGGTCAAATGAACGTACTAGAATAGAATTAGAATAGGTTGAGTTACTATAAGTAGACTCTAATGTGAATGTTTAAGACAATAGGAGTTTCCTTCTCATTATATAACAGTCCAGAGCAGGTGTTCCTATCAGCAATGTATGAAGGTTCCAATTTCTCTACCTCCTTTGCCAACACTTGTTATTCTCTTTCTCATTATAGTTATTCTAGCAGTGTAAGGTGGTGTGCTTGTCAGTCCTTATTCACAAATTCAAATTTCTTAGGGCTTCTGAAAAAAGTAGCTCTTCCTCACTCAAGGGTTGGCAAGTTTGAGAGTTTGGAGTATATATCTGGGACTTTGGAGGAGGAGATGACTAATTTAGTGCCAAGTTTTATAGCTCCCTGTCAATTTATTTTTAAAGTTCAGAAAAGAAAGAGAGAGAGAGAGAAAGACATTAGTAAATGAGTCTTAACAAAAATGATGACAGTTTCTCTGTAATACTGAAATTAAAAAAGTAAAATTTTAGTAGTATATAGTTAGGGGGAAGAGATTTAGGTGATTAGTATTAATTAACTTCTGAAATGTAATTAATGGAAAACCTTATTGCACAAATAAATCATAGAATAGGTGATGTAAACTTATTTAAGGAATTTTTGGTGAAATAATGCAGTGCTTTTATTTTTTAGCATCTCCATTCCAGTTGCCATGGGTCTGTTTAATTTATCTGCTTTAGAGAAGATTAATCTACACAAGACAGGCCTTTCTGGATTCTTTATTGGTAGAGATATTGTCATTCAGTTGGATAGGCATTTGTTTCAAAGCATTCCTACTAGCCACAATCTCTCATTCAGTATCCCTCTATAAGAAGGCTTTTTGGGGGCACCAGTAGGTGGCATTGCAGTTAAAGCATTGGACTCCCACGTGGCTGATTGCAGTTAAGAGTCCCAGACCCGGGAGCCAGCAGTTAGCGTAATGGCTATGTCGCTGGACTCCCACGTAGTTGACCGCAGTTCGCGTCCTGGACCCGGTGGCTTAAACTCACACCGGGTGCGTGTGCGTTTGTGCCCAAGATCCCGAGAGGAGAATGGAGAAGAAGGGATTGCGATGTGACCATCCCCCCTGGGGGGTGATTTCTCGCTTTCTTTCTCTATGTCTCTGTCTGTCTGGCGAACGCACGCGCCCTATAGCAAAAACCTCTCCAAATAAAAAAGAGTCCCAGACCTAACTGTGGCTTGAGGGTTATGCTGGGTATGTGTGTGTGCATGCCAAAATCTCAGGAGGGTAGTAGGAGAGAAGGGATTATAGCATGGTCATCCTTCTCTGGGGGTGATTTCTCACTTTCTGTCGCTCCAGTGAGTGCACATGTCCTATAGTAAAAACCTAGAGGGGAAAAAAAAGAAGAAAAGAAAGCATCTTGGAAATTTGAAAGTATTTTAAACTGGGTGGATTGTATGAAAAAGCTGTGAGGTCCTGAGCTCCTAGTAATTTCTAGAAAAGCCATAGTCTGCAACAGTTCAAGTAAAACTCTTTAGAGGCAGGAGAGGGACATTCTCTGGGTTGTAAAGCCAAGATATGTCCTTGAGGACTTCAGTTGCCACCACCCTCCTCTGCACCCCACACAATGCAGAGCACATGGAGTACATATTCGATACATACTTGGTAACGAGGGCCAGATGGTGGCACAGTGATAAAACGTGACATTCTGCAAGGCATTCCCACGTGGCAAAGTTCCTGGTTCAAGTCCACAGACGACCTTGAGTATGCTGGGCATGCGTGAGGCTGGCTGGAGGCTGAGAGGAGAGTGAGCATCAAGATACTGTTGATTCAGTCTCTCCCTCTCTCGTGGAAGAAGTAAATAAAAACGAAAACCAAAAATTGATAATATCAGTAGTTTGCGGTAGGATTTACCATCAAGGTAGGGAGAATTGTGGCTTTACCACCTGGCAATACATGATGGAAGCCACTTCAAGAGCCAGGATAATTCATTCATTCATTCATTCATTCAGCACGCATTTGTTAATCGATATCTATCAGAGTGAGGCATTAGAGATTTTAGGGGTGCATTTATGAATAGATTTCTTCTGTAACACACAGACACACACAAGTCACACGGTAACAGTACAGCAGTTTCACCACTTTACAAGACGCCAGCCATAGGAACACTGAGAAGAAAGCCTAAAATACTCCCTTCCAAATCAGAGACTACACTAAAAACATTTGCATGCACAATGCATTCTAGTTTCAGGACCTGGCTGGCGTATGTTTGTTTAAACCCAATTTGTAGGCAGATATTTATGGGCATCCTTAGCCACCAGATGATTTTAAATATAAATATCATGAGTACAAGTTTGATTCTACTGATGAAAATAAACTATTCATTTGGGGGTGGGAACACATTACTATTTTGGGACCACTAGGGTACCACTTGACAGGGTCTTAATGTTTCTCCCAAAATGAGCACTGTGTTCTATTTTAGGGTTAGGAAAGACAAAATATAAATCTATAGCACAAATTCTTGCTACTTATTTTTCTGACTGTTTATTTTTAAATTTATTAATTTTTTTCATAAGTGAGTGACAGAGACAGCACCCTTGACAGGGTCCTGATACTATGACCCACCCCCAGTTTCAGCCAGCCCCCAGCTGGGGTACTCACGTGTCCAGCTACACAGGGAGGGCCCTGGATGGACACCCAGAACCTTCTCACACAGGTCAGCTCTGTAGTACTGTTTACCACTGTGCCACCATCTGGCCCCCATTTTCTCTAATTATGGAACATACCTTTCATATTTTAACTTTACAGATGACTGAGTTATTCGCTTTAATTAAAAAAATTGTATTACTTTCTTACATAAAAAAATTGGGAGCAAAGGAGTCCCTTTATAATCTAGATGTCCAGGAAACAACTACCACTTTGTGTCAGCTAGGAATCTCTAAGTTATGATGTGGAACAAAACCACCCTACACTTCCATTGCTTAAGTCAACGAAAGTGTATTTCCCACCCACACTTCCCACACGTGGGAAGGCAGGGGCCTATATTCATTCAAGTCACTCAGGGACCTCTGGAAGAAGGGAGGTATCATCTCCTGATGCCTCATTTTGACTCAGGGGCGTGGATTTGGCATGAGAGGAGGAGAGAGCAAAAAGAAAGTATAATGCTGTTAGATGCTGTCACCTGCAAGGGACACATCACTACTGCTCAGATTCCATTGGCTAAAGTGACACCTGCCCACGGCTAACTTCAAGGGGCAGTCACAATACTTCCCAGCACTCACCAGAGAGGAGGTTCAGAAATACTGGTGGGCACTGTAAATGTCTATCGCATACCTTATAGAAAAACAAAAGACATGGTATCCTTGTGGAGCCGACACTCTGGTGGGAAAAGCAGAGACGGTCGTTAGGTATACAGCATGCTCTGCGTGCTCAAGGGAAGGGTGCTCAGAATACAGCAGGATTACTGAGTTAGGAGCACCTAATTCAAATCGGAGAGGTGTGAGGAAATTTCTCAGAGAATGTGACTCTTGGCCTGAATCTCGAAGGACAAGCAATTAGTGAGGAAATGAAGGACATAAGGGCTTCCTGGCTGAGGAAACGACTAGTTCAATGTGTAATAACAATACCAGTTATGTAATGAGCGGATTCCTCTGCTCCAGCCAGTAGGCTACACTTGCAAGCGATGTCTCCTTTAATTCCCTGTAGGCTTCACATCACTGTATTATCTATTGCCTTAAGAATGTAAGCTCCACAGGACAGGCCTTTGCTTTGTTCACCATTATATCTTCGTGTTCCAGTGACTATTTGCTGTGTAACAAACTAACAGGCATTTTACTGTGCCCACAGATCAGGCGGGTTAGGGGTTTGACAAGGACACAGTTGGCAGAGTAGTGGTAGGGGGTTTCACTTGGGGTCTCAATGGTCGCATTCCAGTTTTGGCTGGACTTGCGGTCACCTGAAGGCTCCCCTGGACTGGACATCTAAGTGGCTTACATGGCTGACCACTGATGCTACTGACTCAGACCAGAGTGTCTACATGTGTCCTCACCAGCAGGGAGTCTTGCAAACTGCAAGAGCATTCTAGAGAGCCAGGTAGAGGATGCTGCATGGCCTTTCCATACTGAGCCCCACAAGTCACAACTGAATACTTTTGCTGTAAATTACTGGTTATAGATGAGTCATACCCCATCCATATCCAAGGAGAGGGACCTAGATTCTGTCTCTAAATGAGCGATATCTTTTAAAATTTTCAGATACACTGAAAATTATCTGCCTTTGTTACCTCTTTTTTTTTTTTTTTTTTTTTTTTTGTTACAGGACGTATGTATTCACCAGAGAGACAGACAGAGATAGAGAAAGCAAGAAATCACCCCCCAGGGAAGATGGCCATGCCACAATCCTCTCTTCTCCTTCTCTTGAGATTTTGAGCATGCATACACCTGCATCTGGTATGATTTTCAAGCTGCCAGGTCTGGAACTCGAACCACAGTCAGTCATGTTGGAGCCCATCACCTTAACCACTGTGCCATTTGCTGGCCCCTTTAATATAGTATGTTTGAAATTCAATTTATAAAAATTTCTCATAGTGAAAATGAGGACATGCCTAGGGAAGAAAGTAAGTGTGGGACACGTGCATACCAGCAAAATTATCAGCTGCCTTTGAGGAAAAATGTTATAAGGCTGTTAATACATATTAATGATATTTGAGTCTCATATGATGAATATGTATGTGATAATTAGGTAAAAATCCAAGAAATAAAATAGGTAGGGATCCATCAAGCAGATTGATTTAGAATAGTAGACAGGAATGAATTGTTTCCATTCTTTTTCTTACATAGGGCAATAATGCAATAATAATCTCTGATTCTAAATTTTAATTTACCTTGTGAGAATTTTATGATAGATGGGGTTCAAATAAATGGCAAATTTTAATCTCCTTGTGTGGGTTTTTTTGTTTGTTTGTTTGCTTTCCTTTTGCTACTTCAAGAGACAACAGCTAGAAGATATGAAGGGTTTCAAACGAAAATGTGTGACCAGTTAACTTTTTTTTTATTAGGGTTTTTTTATTGTTAGCTTTCCTTGTAAAAATCCTTATCAGGAAAAATTTCCTCTTCTGCAGAAAAGCAGTTTCTCTAATTCTGTTGCTTCATGATTAGTGGTTTGTTATACCCAAGAGATACTTATAATGGAATTGTTTTTTGGTATTTGAGAGAAAGAGGCATACATGGGAGGGGGAAAGAGAGGAGGAGAGAAAGTGAGAGAGTTTTGTTTTTGTTTTTAGGCTTTGTCATAGGGTGCATGTGCCCTCCAGAGAGAGACACAGAGAGAGAGAGAAAGTATGTCACCCCTCAATTCCCCAGGAAGATGGCCATGCTGCAATTCCTTTTCTTCCATTCTCCTCCTGGGATTTTGGGCACATGTACACATGCACCTGGAGTGATTTCAATCCGCTGGGTCCAGGATTTAAATCGTGGTCGACTATGTGGAAATCCAGTGCCTTAGCCACCACACTACCTACTGGCCCCCAAGAGAAGTATTTTTGACAGAATCTAACCGTGTCACCACATCCCAGTCCTCCTGCTCAGCCTCCCAGCTACCCAGCACCACAGGTGCATGCCACTGTGGTTAATCTGTTTGGATTTGGCTGAGAATGGAACCCAGGCCTCTTGTGCAGGCTTGGCCATTGCACAGTGGCAGCCTCCTGCTTGTACCACCGTGGTTGGGCCCCAAATGGAATTTATACACTGGTTGTGTCTCCCCTAAAAGACTGACTAAAAAGGGTAGATGAGTAGGGCGCAGATAATCATGGAAGCTATTTGTTTCAGTTACAAAGTGAGGCTTATCTCTATTTTCCAACTTAAGTAACATTTAAGCCCCTACAGTCTGAGGGACTGTGGGCTGATGTTCTGCGTCATCTGTTAACCTCTTAATCTGACTACCTTTCATTTCCCACTTAAATCCTTGCATAGCTATCGTCCACTGTGTCTAGGGTGATTTTCCTAAATGGTTCATTTTAGGCAATTTCATTTTATACAATGACTTCTTTTTGATTTGTTTAACCCTTTTTCTGTTTCCTACAGAAGTCCCGGAGGGGATTTGGGAGCCAAAAAGAAAAAGAAGAAACAGAAGAGAAAAAAGGAGAAACCAAATTCTGGAGGCACCAAGTCAGATTCTGCGTCTGATTCCCAGGAGATTAAAATTCATCAGCCTTCAAAAGTGAGAGCCCTGTTTTATTTTCACCTTGGTGGTTCCTCCCGCAGACGAGTGTGGGCTTATACAGTTTAGTGTCCTGTTGGGTCAGGTGTGTCCTTAAGGTTTTGTTGTGACTGTGTGTTGCATGGCACTAGAACAGGAGGGTGTTTACCACCTCCTTGAAACTGACTTTGGCGCCCTTGAAGGTAAAAGGAACACACTGTGGTTTTGTGTGTTTGTGGTTACCTACTGTAATTTCCCTTCTCAGTCAATGAGTCTTAGGTTGTAGTTAGAGAAGAAAGTCTCAGTGTGAGTTTGTTTTTTTGTTTTTTGGGTTTTTTTTAGCTACACTTACTATTTGATTATTTTAGTTCAGCAGATATTCACGTTTTAATTTCTCTGGGTGTCTGTCTAATTACCTGAATAGCACAACAGCATCTGGCAGCAGATTTCAGCGGGAGCGGCCATGGGTAAGTCTTACATTGACTTTGAATCAGACCAGTCTTCAGTGGCCATTCTTCATTCTATTGCTGAGAGTGGGAAATAACTCCAACCATGCTCTCAGAAGAAACACCCATTTTGGACCAAACCAGAATTTGGCCAGCTGGGCCCTGTGTTGGTGGAGGGATGTTTGTGTGTTGTGGGCATCTGGTGGTACAGGTCATGGTTACCCCAGTCGTCCTGGCTGAGAACAGGGCCCTTGTGTGCTGGGCTCCTGGCAAGCATAAAGCTCTCTTGATGCAAGTGACTCACAGCAAAAGGTGTAGAATTATTGGGTCATTGGGAAAGTCATGACATATTTTTCTGTGCAAAAATGTGTCATGACTTTTCTATCAACTCAATAGAAATACAGTGGAGTAGAGATGATTTTGATGGTTGTAGCTGCAAATAAATTACCCTGATCTGTGCATGGTGTCGTGGAACAGCTCAAGGTGACCTGGGAGACCTTGAGCTTGAACCTGGCACCATTGCTCGAGAGCTGTGTGCCTTTGCCCAAGGCACTGCCCTTCTGAAGCCTGTCCCTTTTCCGTAAAATGGGAATGATGAATGCTTTTCCCCAGCTTGGGCCTGTTGTGAACCTAAAATCAGATCATTTTTATTAAAGAGTCATTCTACCATAAATGCTGTCTACTTGGCAGTTGTTATCATTATGCAAATGTTATGAGTTAAAAGATTGTTATCCTCATACAAACTCTGTATTCTATTACATGAAGTGAGTCTTGCTGGTAGTTTTATTGACATCTTTGTTATCTGTTACCACAAAGGGACCAGGGAGAAGGGAAATTTCTTGCCCCAGTTTTTCCCTGACTGACTTTGTAGGGTGAGAAGAAAGTACAGTCTTCCTCCCTGGCTTTCCAACTTGGTTTTCAGGTAACAGTCTATCCTCTGGACAGAATTTCCAAGGTAACGCACAGAAGGATTCCATCATAAGCTTGCAGATTATTTTCCCATTTCTAAATGTGGCTTCGTGAGATAAGCACAGCATCACCTACCTGCAGTTGTGGGATCTCCGCGTTGCTTGGACCGCTGCCATCAGCTTCTCTGCAGCCCCTTAGCCATGGTGATTTTGAGCCCTCCCCTACCGCCCTCGCTCACTTATAAGAAACTAGAGCCAACCAAGGCAGGGGAACTATTAGCATTATATGGTAGATCATTTCTTTTATTTTCTTTCTTTTTTTTTTTATTTTTTAAAACAAAGAACATGTCAACAGTTTTAATGTGGGCTTTTCTTGTTGCATATTTTTAAACTGAGCCTCTCTTTCCTTAAACTTATGCCAGCTCTAGATAGCACTGTAAATTACAGTGGACCACATTTAGAGAATATTCTCATCTCTACTCAAGAACCAAAATAAAAGTGTTATGTCTCTGAATTCTTATGGATTTCTTATAGTAAAGGATTTGGATATTTTTTCCAAGTTATAAAGCTTGGGAAGTAGTGGGTAAAGAGTATTAGTTGAGGGGCCAGCAGATGGCATAGCAGTTATGTCGCTGGACTCCCACATGGGCAACCATGGTTCGAGTCCCAGACCCAGTAGCTTAAAAGTCATGCCAGGCGTATGTGCATGCATTCCCAAGATCCCAAGAGGAGAATGGAGGAGGAGAGATTGAGGTGTGGGTGAATCCTCACTTTCCCTCTCACTGTCTCTGTCTGTCTCTCCAGCATGCACTCATTCCCTAAGGCAAAAACCTCTTTAAAAAAAGAATACAAGAGGACTTTAAACAGTTCATGGATAAATGGAATTACATGCAAGTTTATTATGGTACAGAGAACTTTTGAACTCTGTGGATAGTTTTTTTATAATATGTATTTTCCATGAACTTCTTAAAGACCCCGCATAGTTCATGAGGAGCAGATGTTGAACAGCGCTGAGCAAGCTCTGCGTCTTACACAGGAGTATACAAGTGGGCAGTTACTGCAGGGCTGACACTGTCCCTCACCTGGCCCGATACTGATTCATTTCTCCTGGGTGGTGCTACTATGGAAGGTGAATGGAGAGGTTTAAGAATTTATCATAGCTGAGTTTTCCATACTGCTTTGTTATCATGGATTGGAAAATTATGCGTTTCCAAATCTCTTTTCAGAAAGCATTTAAATAGTGAGCACTGGAATGTAAATATTTCATGAATGGTCATTAGGTGTAGAGAGAGCTGATCAACCCAACGAGGTTAAGTATGTAGAGTGGAAGCCACACTGAGGCTTCCTTCATGCAACTGAGAGGTCATTGGTGCCTTTGGAACAAAGATGCTGGTCCTGTTTGTTACAAAATAGTTTGAATTTGATGTATTAGTCTTAGGAAATTTAACTCAAATGCCAGGAAAAAAAATTACCATGACAAATTAAGTGTTGACACTGTAGATATATTTTTCTAAGGCTGGGATTTATTTTGCCTTTTTAAGCTAACCTGATGCATGTTCAAGCACTATTGGTTGAAATATGCTGTGACTTCAATTTCAGTTAGGACTCCTAGTAGATTGTGTTGTTGGGGGTTCCTATGGATGCCAATTTAGTTTTGCTAGAAATTAGTTACTTTTTTTTTTTTTAAGAACTATTTTATTTAGTCTTATTTATTTATTTAAATTTGACCAGAGAGGGACAGAGAGAAAGTGAGAAAGCAATTCTCCAGGTCCAGGACTTGAACCACAGTTGGCTTTGTGGGAGTCCAGCACCCTAAGCCACCACACTACCTGCTGCTCCCCCCCCTTTTTAAAGAATTATTTTTATTTAACTTTATTTATTATTACTATTTTCCAGCTTGATCAGAGAGAGACAGAGAAAGAGAGGGAAAGTGAGAAAGCAAGTCACCAGGTCTGGGACTTGCACCGTGGTCAGCCATGTGGGAGTCCAATGCCTTTAACCATCATGCCACTTGCATGGCCCCAATAGATTAGTTACTTTTTAAAAAATTATTTATTTGATTTTATTTGTTATTATTATTTATTTTTTATTTTGACTAGCAAGAGAGAGAAAGGGAAAGTGAGAAAGCAGGCCGCCAGGTCTGGGACTTGACCCACAGTTCACCATGTGGGAATTCAGTGTCTTAACCACCACACCACTTGCTGGCCCCTAAATCAGTTAATATTAATGTTGGTTGCTCAAAAGAAATAATCTAAAAATATAATAAATTAGGACAGGAACAATGTTTTGATAGATTTGTGTGTGTCACTAAGATATGACCCCTATGATTTTGATCTCAATCAGAATGGAAGATAAACCGCTTATTACAAAATACTGTGGCAAGCCTGGGTTGTGCTGTTAGACTTCTGAGTAGAGACATTAAGCTTTTAACTGACTTCCAGTTAGATTGAAGGACTTGGTCTTCTGGAATCATTTTACTATCAAGAAACATCCCGGGACCAGCAGTTAGCATAATGGCTATGTCACTGGACTCCCACGTAGTCAACCGCAGTTCAAGTCCCAGACCCAGTAGCTTAAACTCACGCTGGGCACATGTGTGTGAGTGCCCAAGATCTCAAGAGGAGAATGGAGGAGAAGGGATTGCGGCGTGGCCATCCCCCCTGGGGGTGATTTCTCACTTTCTGTCTCTCTGTATCTCTCTGTCTTTCCGGTGAGCATACTCGCCCAATAAGAAAAACAAACAAAAAAACAAACAAACAAACAAAACCTCTTCGAAAAAGAAAAGAATGAAAGAAAGAAAGAAAGAAGCATTCCCAACTGATCCATGTTAACTAAACCCTGTTCTGTGTCAGGTGGGTAAGCCTCCCAACAATAATTTGTTCCAGACCACAGATTTCTGATTCAAAGTTGAGCAGAAATCCAAAGTTACTATTTATAAACGACTAAGGTTGATCATGCCTTTCTTGTGTGTCCATGGTGTGTTGATGTTCAGCAAAACCACAGGGCTCTGGGGCCAGGAGGTGGCATGATGGTTAAGGTACTGCGGCGTGGCCATCCCCCTGTGAGGTGATTTCTCACTTTCCCTCTCTCTGTTTCTTTAGTGAGTACACATATCCTATGGCAAAAGAAAAAAAAAACCCACTTTAAAAACAAACACACAGGGCTCTGGAATCCTTCTAACCACTTCTAATCACAACAAAGGATAATTCCTTGTGTGCTATCAAAATGTTAAAACTTCTTAGTTATTTTGCAAGTTGAAAAAAGTTAGCAATTTACATATTTCTTTTTAGGCACTGTCCTCTCTCTCCAAGTAGAGTATCATGTTCCATTTATGGTTAGGTTGTTTGAGAATTTTTTTTTTAAAAAAGGGAGAGCTGAGGAGTCTCTGATAATAATATTGGCTTTGGGAGAGAAACTTTGGGATTTAAAGACTTGCCATGTTATAGACTGAATATGTTTTACCTAAAAAGGAGATTGGTTTCCAGTGCTTGGTTGAGGAAAACAGGCGATGGTTGGCAGGGGTCTGAATTTGCAGAGGAAGCTGCTCATCTCTCTGGTCAAAGGGCCTGTCTCTAGAGGAGCATCAGCATGAGGAGAAGGACAGGCTGCAGTCTAGGAGGAAGGGGCCTGGTGAGAGGTCTCCCTTCCTGATCATTTCCTTTCCAGCTCAGCACTAAGTTGAGATTTCTTTTTTCTTTTTCTTTTTCTTCTTTTTAACAAACTGAGATTTCCCTTGTCTGCCTAGTTTCTGTTCTAGAAGTTATTTTCTTTGTCACTGCATCGCTACTGCAGAGCATTAACCCTAGCAGTGCAACAAGGCTCCCGGCTCCCTGGCTGCTGTATGACAGTGATGCATGTGTGGCATGTCACTCCTTCTGGCTTCTCCCAGAGGAGTCATGATGGGGGATCATTTACAGATGGGTGGGAACCTGAATCAGAGGGTGCTTCGATTACTTTAGATTTTTCCCTACTGCCAGAGCCCTATTAAAATGATAGCAGTGTTGTGCTTGCTTGTATTTCAGCAAGTGTTAAGATGCTTGAGCCTTGTGCCTTGGCTAGCTTAGAGGAGGGTTGTTAGGTTTAAGGTATCGTAATCTCCAAAGCTGAACAAGCGCACCTGCCCCAGGTTCAAGAGCAGCAGCAGCTTCCTCATCTCTGTTTCTGTGTCTTCACTGTTACAGAATCCCACCGTCCCGATGCAGAAGTTGCAGGATATCCAAAGAGCAATGGAGCTGTTATCGGCGTGCCAGGGCCCGGCCAGGAACATTGACGAGGCTGTGAAACACAGATACCAGTTTTGGGACACACAGCCGGTACCCAAACTAAGTAAGCACTTCTTTTAAAGACAAAAATGGATTAAAACAACCAAAAAATGCAAAAGACACCAGGAGCCGGTGCACATATTCAGGGTCCTGGGAGCCGGAGAATTGAAGGGAGATGTTCACAGAGTGACCGAGCCCTGTGAGGGTGCTTCTCTCTCACACATGCATACACACTTTCTTTTCTTTCTCTTATGTATGCTCACATTCTCGAGAATGGATTTTTAAAAATCACTTTAAAAAACACAAAAGAGACTTTAGTTCACATATATCATTTGTTTCCTACCACAGATTCAAAAGGTATATAAAAATAATATTTTTCTTACAATATTGTGAATGACACTGGCTTTTTTTTTTTTTTAGAGAGATTTTTTCTATGGGGGTGCATACACTTGTCTGAGAGACAGAGGCAGACAGACAGAAAGCGAGAAATCACCCCCCTCCCCCGGAGGATGGCCATGCCACAATCACTTCTCCTCCATTCTCTTCTCGGGATTTTGGGCACACACATGCACATGTGCCTAGAGTGAGTTTTAAGCCACTGGGCCCAGGACTAGAACTGCAGTTGACTACATGGGAGTCTAGCAACATAGCCATTATGCCATATGCTGGTCCCAACACTGGCTTTCAATAACATAAATTTTAGTCTAATTCCTGTCTCTGTAAATGACCCAACAGGGCCTTGTTGCTGTGATCCACCCTCAGCCTCAAACAGCCCTGGGTGTGTGCCCTGTGTACTCAGGGAGGTCTCTGGGTGCGAACTCAGAATCTTCCCATGTGGATCATCCTTGCAGAGCATTGTGGTCTACTGCTGTGCCACAACCCCGCCCCCTCCAACTTTTTAAAAGCTACTACTCCTAGCCCACCCACACCCACCCCAAACAGAGTAAAAATAATGAGCTTCTGAATGTGAAGAAAGAAGTATGAAGTTATCCTGGCTTCTCTTGTTCTTTTCAGGCTTTTGAAAAGTATTTAGGAAGATTCTCTAGAATGAACTTACAGGGTTTTTGTTTTGTTTTAATTTATTTGACTTTACTTATTTATTTTTTAATTTGGCCAGATAGGGACAGAGTGAGGGGCGGGTGAGAAAACAAGCCGTGGGACTAGTAGTTAGTGTAATGGCTATGCTGCTGAACTCCCATGTAGTTGACCACGGTTCAAGTCCCAGACCTGGTGGCTTAAACTCACGCCAGTGCATGCGTGCCCAAGATCCCAGAGGAGAATGGAGGAGAAGGGATTGTGGCATGGCCATCCCCCTGGGGGGTAATTTCTTGCTTTCTATCTCTCTCTGTCTGTCTTTCTGGTGAGTGCACACACCCTATAGCAAAAACCTCTCAAGAAAAAAGAAAACAAGCCACCAGGTCTGGGACTCGAACTGTGGTTGGCCATGTGGGAGTCCAGTGCCCCTAACCACCACACCACCTGCGGGCCTGAACTTACAGAGTTTTCAAATGACACTGAATGGGTAACCACTGGCGGGAGGCATCCAGAAGTATTGATCTAAGTGTATCGGGTTTAGCTGAATGTTGCTAAGTGAGCTGCTGCCCACCTCCTGGGGAAGACAACCACTGCCAGCCGGCCCTTAACCCCCGGGGACCCCTCTGGGAAGACAGCCCAGGGGCTCCCAGTACTTTACCCATTTCCCTAAATTCTTGCATGATTTTTCAGTTCCCGGAATTCTCAATGTGCGCCTCAGTTTAGTCAGAGGCCACAGCAGGCAGAGAGCCAAGTGGGTGGGAGAGATGACCTGCAGTCAGAACATTAGGAAGTCTGAGAGACTCTGCTTCTCCATTTCTCTCCATCCAGAGGGTGTTCCAGTTTAATCCCAGCGCACCCAGGCATTGGGAGGTGCTGGCCTGAGGTTGTCCCATGATTCTTATCTGAGAGTCAAACCCTTAGCCACAGTCATAGGGACCTATGAGAGCACTGGATATGTGGCCCCTAGTCTGATGTGAGGAGCCTACGGGATTCCCATGGAGATGAGGTCAGAGTAACCAAATTAAGGATTAGACCCGAGGGCCTGGACCAGTCCAAACCCTATGACTTCTACTTGCAGAAAGGTCCTGGGATGGAAAGAGCCGGGGCCCACAGATCCTTCACTGTGCAGCTGTATATTGAGTGTCTGTTGCTAATACCAGGCACAGTTTGGGGTGCCTACTGTAGAAAGAGTGGTGAAAAGTAGGACAGATGGCAGCCAGGTAGGGGCGTAGAAGGACGTACCTTAGATAGGAAGACGCTTTCTCAGGGAGAGATGCTATGAGAAAGTGACACGTAAGCTTTTCTTTCTTTCTTTCTTTTTTTTGGATGGGGCACTTACTTATTTATATATTTTATGGAAGACAGCTAGACATTCCCAACATGGTCTTCCTACTGCAATGCACTCCCCGGTTCAACTAGCTTGGATCGTGGGCACTCGTGTGCCTGGTGTGCCCTGGCAGGCCCCAGAACATGGACACAGGACCTTCCCCCGTGTATCCAGTTGGGTTAGTGCTGTGTGTGTCACCATCTAGCCTCCGTGTATAAGCTTCTATCAGAAGTCCCTGAGGGCCAGTCATGTGAAAGCCAGAGGACAGGGCCTTGCTCAGAGAAAAGGTGCCAGTGAGGCCCTGAGCTGGGCAAGACCTGAGGTAGGTCAGTGTGGCTGGAGCACTGGGAGCAGGGCAGGGAGCATGTGAGGGTGGTGGCGAGGATGGTAGCAGTGTCGGCAGTGTCGGCAGCAGCCTTGGTAAAGGGCCTTGTTTTTGTTCTGACTGTACTGGGAAGCTCTTTGGAGATCCAATTAGAAAGAGGCATCTTCGTGGAAATTAGAGACTGATGGTGTGGACTGTGATGCCAGCAGGACAGAGGAAGAGAAGTAACCAGTCTTGAAATTAATTTTGCATTTTGCCAGGAGAGGTCAGAAGTCACTGCAGTCCTCCTCTCTGCAGTTTGTGGAAATGTGATGTAAAAGGGAAACATCTCCCAGGCTGTCATCGAGCATGTGCTTACAGTGGTGCTGTCTGGGGGCCAGCAGGTGGTGTGGTAGTTAAGGGCACTGGACTCCTATGTGGCTGACCATGGTTCGAGTCCCAGACCTGGTGGCTTGCTTTCTCACTTTCCCTCTATCTCTCTCTCATTCTGTCCCTCTCTAGCCAAATTAAACTAACTAAATAAAAATAAAGTTCAATTTTAAAAATAATAAAAAAAAAAAACAGTGGTGCTGTCTGATAAATCTGCAGCCTAGAGTTGATACAGAAACCACTGATATTCCATCACGTCATCTTCATCATTGGAAAACAGAAGATAACCTCCTTTTTTAAAATTGTTCAAATAGCATTTATTTCATACCACTGCCTAGCTTTCCTGTTTCAGCTCACAAGTACCTGTAATAATATCATTTTTTTACTAAATTATATTAATGCATAGTGTGCCTTTTTACATCTTAGATGAAATCAGTGTACTGCTAAAATCATGGGCCCTGGAGCCAGCAGGTGGCGTAATAGTTATATCACTTGACTCCCACATAGTTGGCCATGTTCAAGTCCGGGACCCAGTGGCTTAAAACTCACACTGAGGCCCTAACAGAGAGAATAGCTGTTCAGGGCACTGGACTCCCACATGGCGAACCATGGTTCGAGTCCCGGACCTGGCGACTTGCTTTCTCACTTTCTCTGTCTCTCTCTCTCTCTCTCTCTCTCTCTCTGTCCCCCTCTGGACAAATTAAAAGAAACAAATACATAAATAAACTTAAATAAAATAATTCTTTTAAAAAAAAAAAAAACCCAACCCTTGGCGCATGGGCATGTGGCCCCAATCCC